AAGGGGAAGTTTACTATATTTTTGTCAGTGTGTACATGGTTTTTTTTAGGTGGATTTTATTATCCAAATAAAATTGAGACAATGCCAGCCCCATAGCTTCTCCCCCATAGATATTACTGCTTTTCAAGGGGTGGGGGGGAAACTCTTAAAAAGGATATTATAATTTCTAAAGCTTACTTCTTACTTATATATTAACCTATTATTTATTCATTAAACTACCATAGCAGTACAGACTTCACTCAGCTTTTATTTAAACAAAAGTATACCTGGTTGGGGTGGCTATTAGTTTATCTGTTGCTTTAATTACCTAAATTTTAACTTCCCCAAAAGCTAAATCACTGAAAAGAAACGTTTCCTTCACACATCCAAAAAACTGTTCCCAGAGATACAATTTACGAAATATAAAATTTATATCAAAGCTGTTCTCTGCTAATATAAAACAAGTTCGTTTCTTTTTAAAGCCAACCAATGCACATAGGCACTGAAATTATATGATTTAACTTTGTTTTCCTGAAAAATATGTATTTGTGAGCAAAGATACAACATATTATGACACAGAGAAAGGTGCTCTCGTGAACCATGATAAAGTTCAGTAAGTATTTGCTGAGTTTACATAACGAGTAAGGTACCATGTGTTGTGCTCAGTGCAGAACGAATCAGAAACAATCACCCTCGAAAAGATCTCCATGCTCATGCGTACCTAAACAGGTTAGGGCTTTCCTGCCTGCCTGCCTGCTCATGTCATCATCTCTGCCTGGAACAGCAGGCTTCTGAATGCCCATCAGGCCTTCAAATGCCATTATCTCCAGGAAGCCCTCCCACCCCTGCCCCATTCAATCCTGTTCCACATGCAATCCCCAAGCACTCAGATAATGGCACCCTGCCTGGAGTATTTATATCAGTTTGTTTACATTTTTCTTTAAAATCTTATATAGAGCCTTATATTATAGTCCCTATGCATACATGTACTACCCCATTCCCAAAACAAGCCTTCTTGGGGGCCTTAAATCTCCTGCAGTTAATTATCTATGTGTGAACTTTCCTGGTAAGAAGACACAAAGTAACCATCAATTTTACAGGAGGCTTTCTGAACCCCCAAAGTGTAAAAAAACAACACCACGATACAGATTAATGGATTTACAACAATCTGCTATGTGTGTAACTAAATCTAGCTATTAGATTCTTAAAACTATACTAAGTAACTGAGGAGAAATGTTTCTTTCACACATTGGAAATGCCAGTTTCCATAAATACAATATAAAATTACATTGATATCAAAAGCTTTTTCTCTTAAAAAAATAAAATTCCTAAAATAGAAAACTTAGAAAATACTAATATAGCAAGAAATCCTTGTTGGCACATGAGTAAATTCCAAAAAATAGAAATATGCTTTCAAAAATATAACAAGAAGTCTTCGCCAAGGATTTTTGTTGTTGTTTCTATTGATTTCTAAAGTAAAATAATAAAATTAAATCAAGAAACATATTAACATATGGACCAACAGGCTTATGAATACAAACAAGGAAAATATATCCATGTTTATG